TAAATATTTCATCTATATACTTTTTAATTATAATACTTAAATATTTCATAAAAATATGAACACATTTTTCCTACTTTCCCAGTCAAATGCAGTACTATAGAAAATCTGAAATAATAAAATATTTCCCATTCATCAAACAAATGTATTCCAAATCACATTTTTGGAAGGAGTTTAAGTGATATATTATTTTAGAATGGCAGGATAACGTTTTTTTTTTTGTGTTATTCACCTTCGAACAAAAAGTTCTGTTATGACACCGTAACTCTCACTATTCGGAATCAATTTTCGATTATGTATGACTCACAATTATACGTTCTACATAGTATTGATAGGTTATTTACCGACTACGACATTATTATATCGTAGATATTTCATGGTAATTTATTGAAACCGACAGTAGCAGTATACTCGTTAATAAATAATTAACAATCTAACAATCTATTTTTAGTGATAATACATTTTAATAATATTGCATTAATATTGTAATTATACTAGAAAATCATTCAAACACCATAGTGTTACCATAGTGCACTATAAGAATTGTTAATGCTGCACATTAAACGTGCACATCAAATTTCGCAGGCGACGATTGTACGCCGTGAATTAATAATTAATCGCGCACGTACTTTCAGACATACATTCGATAAGTCTTTCGAGAGTCCCCTTTAAGATGAGCGTCAGATTTTTTGTGTTCAATTATTTTTTTTCTCAAACTAGACATTTAGGTTTCTTTTGATTTTCCATTCGAAATTATAGAACAAGGCAATGGCGTAAACTGGATCCAATTTCTGGTGGTGCAGAGGCATATTCTCAACTTATAATTTCCAACACACCAATTTTCCAATTTCCTAAGTAAAATTCTTCCCAGTAAACTATATATTTTCCCATGTATTTCTTTAAATAACAAATAAATTTTGAATTATTTTAGCAGTAAAACCTTTATTATTATAATATTAATAAAAATAAAAAAAACAATCAAATTTTGTTTTTATTATGCTGATTTCCTTGGATCTTGAAAATAATATTATAGACAAATTTCAATAATTTTCTGGTGGTGCAAAAACATATCTTTGCACCACAACATTTTAGATGTGGTATTGCAAGTACCACATTTGCACCACCCCGTTTACGCCACTGGAACAAGGTTTGGAAAAGCAAAGAGTTATGTCAACAATAGATAATCCTAAATTTGTTATATTTTTACAAATCAAATAACCTAATGCTTTACTTTTAACTACTTATTTTTAACTTTTAAAATTCACATACGTATTGTGTAAAGAAAGCTACGTAAATTACACTATCGGCGGACGGTGATTATCGTATAGATAAGCAATAAATGTTTGACGTTTATTAAATATTTTACAATGAACAATTATGCAAAATGTTTAAATTTTATCAAAACTGCGTTCCGGTGCGTTCCGGTCCATTTCGAGCCCTGATATCTTCCAGTTCACTTAGTAATACTTGGTCGTTCGCGATTACTTATAATAATTAAAGA